TTTTTTTTTTTTTTTTTTTTTTAATAAGCTATCGATGTACCAATTCTCTGATGTAGATACACAGGTGCACTTGTATATTTGGCTTTAGAGATGCTTAGTTGTAAATTGGATGTATCACTTTTAATAAAATCATAGTTTTAGGTGATAATATTAGAAGAAACAAGAATGACTATTAAACGTATGTTTGGGCATGTAAAGAAACAAGAATGTCTTTTTGTTTATTTATGTTTTTTTAGGACAAAAAAAAAATGCACACTAGCTTATTTAGTTAGTGCGTGTTGGTGGTCATCCTGGGTCGAGTCCTCTAAATGTACTTACCCACAGAGAGAGAGTTATTTGTGGTTTGAGATCCTATTTTGATATTTATTCTTTTGTTTGTGTTCTGCAGAGATCTTACAGGCAAGAGAGAATTATAGAAGGTCTCAACATTACCGAAGAAATGTTGAGCCCCGACTCGTTCACAAGGCAAATTAATGATCAAATTTCTCTCGCAAAGGCATTTATTGTGATGGCAAAAGAAAGCAACAACCTCCAATTTGCTTGGGAACTCAGTGCCCAGATCCGTAACTCACAGATTCTTCTCTCAAATGCTGCTCTAAGGCGAACTCCTTTGACAACTACCGAATCAGAAACTGTAATCCGTGATATGGCACTTTTGCTCTACCAAGGCCAGCAACTTCACTATGACAGTGCAACCATGATAATGAGACTGAAAGCCAAAATCCAGGGTCTTGAAGAACAGATGAACTCTGTGAGTGAAAAGAGTTCCAAGTACGGGCAAATAGCTGCTGAAGAAGTCCCGAAGAGCCTATACTGCCTTGGTGTACAGCTAACGACCGAATGGTTCAAAAACTCTGAGTTACAAAGAAAACATAAAGAAAAAAAGCAAATAGCGATGAGAATGAAAGATAACAATCTCTATCATTTCTGCGTGTTCTCTGACAACATTCTTGCTACTTCCGTTGTGGTAAATTCAACTGCATTGAATTCCAAAAATCCTGATATGGTAGTCTTCCACCTTGTAACTGATGAAGTTAATTATGCCGCAATGAAGGCTTGGTTCCACGTGAACAGTTTCCGAGGGGTGACTGTTGATGTTCAAAAGATAGAAGACTTCAGCTGGTTAAATGCTTCTTATGTTCCTGTTCTTAAACAGCTTCAAGATTCTAATACTCAGAACTATTATTTTTCTGGCAACAGTGATGATGGCAGGACTCCAATCAAGTTCCGAAATCCTAAATATTTATCTATGCTTAACCATCTCAGGTTCTACATTCCTGAAGTTTTTCCTGCATTGAAGAAGTTAGTGTTTCTTGATGATGATGTTGTGGTTCAGAAAGATCTATCAGGTCTGTTTTCCATTGATCTGAATGGCAACGTTAATGGTGCAGTGGAGACATGCATGGAAACATTTCACAGATACCATAAATATTTGAATTATTCTCATCCTCTCATACGAGCACATTTTGATCCTGATGCATGTGGGTGGGCATTTGGGATGAATGTTTTTGATTTGGTTGAGTGGAGGAAAAGGAATGTGACCGGCATCTATCACTACTGGCAGGAAAAAAATGTAGACCGGACCTTGTGGAAACTTGGCACATTACCGCCTGGACTTTTGACCTTCTATGGTTTGACAGAGTCATTGAATCCCTCATGGCATGTGTTGGGTTTGGGCTACACAAATGTCGATCCTCAGTTGATTGAAAAGGGGGCTGTGCTCCACTTCAATGGGAACTCAAAGCCATGGTTGAAGATTGGGATAGAAAAGTACAAACCACTTTGGGACAAATATGTGGATTACACTCATCCTATATTACAACAATGCAACTTCCATTGATTTTCAATATGGCAGTTTCATCTTGTCTGCAGTATACTGGCATTGCTAGAGGTTTGAATTCTTGTACTCTGAGAATGCTTAGATAAGGCAGTGTTAGTAGTTGTATTCTCTTTATTTAGTTGATGTTCGAATTTCCTGTTGTAGCATGAAATATCAATAGGGCTATTTATTCATTTTCTGATTCGATACTGTATCTTCAGATTTCATATAATGTAGAAGTTTGTTAGCCTCCTTTGTTCCTTATACAGAATTTTGTATTCATGATCACTTTAAGCTTTAAGCCTCCAGACATCAGCTTGATGAGTACCCAGTTTCACAACAATTAGCCGGACTTCCATATGTTGTATTCTTTGCTTCCAGCATTGGTGAGAGAAATGAGGTTAGTGTCCTCTTTCATTCTTTCTGTTTATTGTTTAAATTTTGTTAACTACACCACCTATTCTGTCCAAAAAACAAAATACAACCCTATTGAAAATAGATTGCAAGGATGTTTTTTCCTGTTGGCTATAAGTTATGAATCCCAGACCTCTTTCCTTTTTAACATGCCATGTCAACATTTAACTTGCCGTTCTGTTGTGACGTTTCCTTTATTTTTTTTCACTAGTTACTATAATGATATTTTCCTCTATAATTCTTAACATGACTCGTTAATATGACATAAAATTGTTATTACTAATTCGGACCATAATCGGATTGGCATGCCAAATTCACTTAATGAATTTGTGGGGGGCTGGGGGATGTGAATTCAGCCATTTACAATATAAGCCCTATTATACATGACTACAAAAGAGTTGTGTATGATTTGAGTCAATAACTGACCTATTGCCATACCTACTAAAAATCTTGAAGAAAATCTCAGTTCTATAAGGTGCTACTGGAAACAAATGTTCAGTGAGAAATGCTTCAGAGGCTTTATTTTAACACCAACAAATCAATGGCAAAATGAAAATAAAAAATGAGCCCTGGCCTTATCTGTCTTTCTAAATACTCATTGTGAGAGATTATAGTCTTATTTGATAGAAAAGATAAAAATGTTGAAAGAAAGAGACTGGAGGAATACACTTTTTATTGTCATATAGGATGTTAAAATATGATACAATTCTTTTACATGCCACAAATGTTATATGAAATTAGAGAGTTTGGGTCGGGTATGAATGAATTTAATTAAAAGAAATATACGACATGTATTTGATATGTTACAATTCATTAGATATGAATTAATAAACGAATGCGTATGAGTAGAGTGCTTTTTGATATGAACGTACTAAAACTCGACATGAATTTATCTCATTCGGCACAAACTTGCCTCAATCAATGCGATTGACGGGCCTAATCTCATGAAATTCAAAAATTTCATAAATAAAATGTGTGTTTTCATTTTTGTATTTCAACTTTTTCATCATACCACATAAACCATACTAAAGTGGAGAAGGGGTTCAATTATTAAGGAGCGATAAATGCTATTTAGATTTAAAATGTTGACATCATTTGTTGATTTTATCAATCACAATTATTGAATAAATAGTGAATTATAATAAATACTGAGATTTATAATTAAATCAATAACAATGATCAATAAAATTAACAAATAATATCAATATTTTGAAATCAAGTAACATTACTGGGAAGGAATGCACCATTAAGAGAAAGAGAAAACTGGGCTGTGATTCTGTGAACACTACTCTCTCTCTCGGGCCGTTTCACGTCATATCTAGGTATAGGTAATGTTATTGACTTATTTCGTATTAAAAACCGAAGGGTTTTTAATTCAATTAAAACTGTTTTTGTCTAAATCCTATCAAAACGAATTAAAAAACTTAATTCTACTACTGTTCATATACTATATCATAAAATACCTAAGAACATATATATATTTTTTATAATATTAGTTAAATGGTTTATACTTTTCTAACAATAACCTCACCTATTTATTATTCATATAAGTGATTAATTATTATTCGTATAATTAACGGTCGTTTGTTTAAACCAAAGGTATTAAAATATGACACAATTTATTAACACAACACGAAATTAAAGGATTTGTGTCTTCATTGAGTCATCTATTTCGTAACCGACACAACATGACACGATTATTAAATGAAATGGGTATGAGTGAAACAAATCAAAAAAAATATTTAACTCGAATCATTTATATATAGATTATACAAGATTTATATACGATACAGACTCGATCATAGTTTGTTAGACACGAATTAATAAACGAATCAAGTATGAGTAGATTATTTTTGCACAAAAATCAGCTAAAATTTGATATGAATCTGCTTCACTCAGAACGATTGATAGACTTAATTTATATTTATTTCTTAATTAACTTTTGCCTTAAAAATCTGTGGTCAAATTTTAAATAATCCATATTGACATAAAATATGTGTGACCCTATTTCATGAAATGAGACAATTAAAATTCCAATAATTCTTTTTGGGATAAATTTTGGCTAAATTTATTACTCGTGTTAAATTGATAGTTGAGTTCATTTAATATCGGGACTCCAACAATAATTAGTTGGTGACAAATAAAGATGTAAATGAGGTGCTAATAACATTTAATTATTTGAAAAAAAATAATAATACACTTGGCACGTGCCTATTGTCCCATACGGAACACTGAAAAAGCCGGCTAAGCATAAACATCAGAATCCTCAATCACTTCGAAGTCAGTAATTTATCCTTGTCTCCTACTACCCAACGTCTCTTTCTCAGTCCAAAAACCTCCTCACGTTTACACAGTCAAAACCAATTCAATCCCCAAACCACCCTTACCTTCCTCCAAGGAATACCAAAAATGAACCGGCCTGTAAAGGTCATTTCAGTAACTTCACTATATCATCAGTCATAAACCCTCGCCTCCGCCGGCTTATTATCCCTTTTAGCGCCACTTTTCAAGTGTTTGTTTTTCTTCTCATCCCTTATCGGTAACTAACAAACATTCCCAAATCCTCTCTCTCTCTCTCTCTCTCTCTCTCTCACACACACACACATACACAATGAAGACGGACGGCGGTGAAACCTTAGTTTCCGACCAATCTTCAAAGCAACGGAAGCCGAAGTCCCGTGAAGTGAGTTCTCGCTTTCTCTCATCGAGCATCACACCTTCCATTGAAAGTCCAAACCACACTCTCTATCCACTCCGAGCAAAACCCAGATCATCCACCGATAGCCAAAAGCACCGAAGCCTCGAATCTTCAGGTTTTGTACTAGGGCTTTGGCCATCTTCTGGTTCATCATCATCATCTTCATCTTCTTCTTCTTTGAGTAAAAAACAAAGCACTCTCGCTGATCATCTTGGAATTGAGAGAATTAAAGGCCATGAAAAGTCTGAGAAGTCGATGTTCTTCAACAGACAAAGAAGCTGCACGGAGTTTAGTAGGTTTGAGAACGAGAAATCAATCGCCAAAGAAAATCATAAACCATTCTTTGGTGGGTCGATGAGGTATACCGGAAAATTCAGGTTTCCGGGAAAATCATCGAATTCATCATCGGCGTTGTCAAAATCGTCGAGTTTAGTCGATGATCACGATCATACAGTTCCCGGAAGGTTTTCGGTGGATTCAAATGCGCTTCGGATGAATTCACTTCCTCGAATATCTGATATCTTAACAGAAACACAAGATTCAGAGTCCGAGTGCAGTGACATATGCTCCGGCTCGAGTTTTGAATCACCGGTAATCGGAAAAAGGTTTCCGGCTTCCTATATGGCACCGACGGTGAGCTCAAGAAAGGCCGGTAAAGTGGTTTCTTCAAAATACATGAACGATTTGCCATCAAGGTCTCGGCGGTGGACTGTTGATTCTAGCACTCAACACCCAGTTTCATCGGACAATTCTCCCAAGAAATCGGCCATAAAAAACTCAATGAAGCGGACAAATTCGCTTACTACCTATGGGTCTACGACGTCGCAGTGGGCCTTGTCACCGGCGAGGTCAAGTTCGCCGCCAGTGTCGACTGAGAGCAAGGGAACTTCGATGTCGTTTTCGAGTTTGAAGCCTCCGACGAGTCCGTACAACGCTAAAGGTGTTGGGAATTTGCTGAGTAGGGGGCTTGAATTGTTTAAGGTTAAGAAAGCTTCTTCAAGTACTAGTTCATCTCCTCTAGGGCCTGCCATGACAGAGAGCTTTCATCAGATCAGACTGTTGCAGAATAGGTTGGTGCAATGGAGGTTTGCTAATGCTAGAGCTGAGGCTGTGAATCTGAGCTTAGCTAATCAGGCAGAGGTTTGTATGATTTTTCTTTTTTTTTTTTTTTCTAATTTGAGAATTATATATATATGGTGATCTATGGCTTTTATAGGAAGCGATAATATTATTCGAATTTAATTTATTGACATAATTACGTGATTGAATTTATTTTATTTTTGGGTTGACAGAAGGTACTAATCAATATTCGGGTCTACTATGATTGATTCTATCAACACATTAGATTAGTTAATTAGGTATAAGTAGTATTACTCAAAAACAATAAAACATAGAAGAAGTGTATATGCTCAATATGTTTTGGGAGGAAAATTAATATAACAATGCCATACTTTGCAAAACATTTTTAAGATTTTTTAATTTTAAATCAATAACAAAAACCTCCCAATTGAAGGGACTGCCGGATTTTTATATTTCTAAGATCAATAAAATACGATTTTACATGGGATTCTATTGGAAACTATGATCAGGTGTACTTTATAATAGTATGGAGGTACCATTAGGTCAAAAACATTTGTTTATAAACCTACAAATTCTATAAGCATCGAATCAAAGTCTCCACTATACTTTTTAAATTGATGTCTTTAGGGCCTCTACCCTCCCTCCTGCAAAAAGTTAGTTCAATGGATGTGACTCTCATCACTGGATACTCATGTAAATTTTAATTACACTTATGATATATATATGAGAGGCATTTTTGAGATTGAGTCGAAGAAGATGACAAATTTAACATATTATCGTGTTGTCGTGTGAATATTAAGATATTTGATTGGTGTTAGTGTCCCATAAATAAAGAAGATTTTGATTATTTTGCAGAGTAACTTGTCTTATGCCTGGAATGGACTTGCAAAGTTGCAACATTCTGTACTACAAAAGAAGTTGCAGCTAGAGAAAGAGAAGCTGCAGATGAAACTGAATATTGTGCTTCATTCTCAAGTTAGTAATAAATATACTTTTAACTCACCATTTTGTACTAATGTGATTACCCAGAACTAGAAAATAACAAAAAAAAATAAAAATAAAAATTACTTTATATTTTTGGGTCCAAATACAACTTCATGAAATTGTAAGGGGGCGATAGCGTCACGAATCAAATAAGTTTAGTTTGTTTGTTTAAATGACACTAACCCTCCTCATTACTGTAGGAACTTGCATTTTGACCTCCCAAATTCTGTAATGTAATTATTATTATTACTTTTCAAGTCGGGTATCATACATGATGTTATTGATAATCAGTTGTAAGTGACAGTATAGTAATATGATGCATATATACGATCAATCATGATATGAGTGCTGAATATGCTATATATGAATGTGTAGATTAAGCCATTGGAAGCTTGGGGAGATATGGAATGGCAACACCTATCAGCAGTATCTATGACCAAAGATTGTTTGCACTCTGTTGTTTGTAGGGTACCCCTTATTGAAGGGGCAAAGGTACTGTTATTATCATATTAGCTGCTGATTGTAACTATGTCTGTTCAAACACAAAATCATTGTGAATTCATCTGACTTTCGATCTTCCATTTCCTTGTTCTAAATCGTACTTTTTTTTACTTTGATCTCTTTCTTCATTTTATCCATTAATTCCATCAATTAACATTCACAGACAAGACAGAAATGAGCACTTGACTAACAAACCTAATAAGCTTGGCAGGTGGAACCACAACTAGTTTCGGTTGCAATACGACATTCCTCAGACCTTGCAGCATCCATGAAGATGATGTTAGCTGCTTCTTCATCCGCGGTAGGCAGGCTGCATTTACTAAGCAATTGTAGTCCATTGGGATGCTGATTTTTTTTTTTTTTGAAGTATCCTGATTAAGTTTGTCAATACAGGCTGAGAAGACGGTGTCAATGGTTTCGGAATTAGCAGAGGTAGTCGCACAAGAGAAATCCCTATTGGAAGAGTGCTTAGAGCTTTTCAAGATCATTTTGAAGCTAGAGGTAAAATATAAATTTGCTTTAGTATCATTTTCAAATATGTGTGTGTGTGTGTGTACTGTGTGCTAACCATGGCTTTGTATAACAAACAAGCGCCAATACACAATTTCAATACATACTTGGTTGTGGTCCTTGTGCATGTCCTGTATTATGTTTTGATTTGTATCCACGCCAACATAAAACCCGTTTGTATTAATTTTAACAAAGAAAATTGCTGAGCCTATTGTTTTGGGGACCCGACCCGAAAGTCTAACCCAAAAAGGAGATTGAGGGCTCTTTAGTAAATCTCATTTCTTTAGGATTGGTAAAATCTAGCTCTATTATTAGGTAGTATAAGAATTTAGGTGCCATAAATAATTCAATTTCGGAGAAATTTTTATTCTCTTACCTTCATTTCATAAAACTCTTTGTTACTCATTTCTCTTGGTTAGTGATCTTTTACATCGGGCTTCTCCCGCCCACCTAGACCTTTGAGCCGAATCATAAATTAATGTGTATTTGTGTTTTTTTTTTTAATTCATCTGGCTACATGTTTGTCGTTTCTCGCATGCTATACACTAACCATGGTTTCGGCACCACCACTAATCATCCCTATTCTAAATTTAAGCCATATAGCACCCAAAAAAAGGAAAAAAAAAATGGAGTCATATATACTAATTTAGTTTTGGTGTGTATTATGCTTTGGTTCGTTAGGCGCAATTAATGTTGAGTTCTCTTAACTTTGTTTTTTTTTTTTGTGGGCAGATGCGAGAGTGGAGCTTAAAGTGTAATATTATTCAACAGAAATTGTGGCAGCAACAACAACAACAACATGATCGAAATGAGATTTGTGCATAACTTCTTTTATTCTTGGTCTAACAATAATGCTAATTATTGATCTCTCCGACAACTCAACGAGGACAAGAGAGAGAGAGAGTGTGTGTGTGTGTGTGAGAGAGAGAGAGAGAGAGAGAGAGAGAGAGAGAGAG